AACGCAAACTACTGCAAGGATAAATGAAGCACAAATGACATGCAACGCAACGCTCTGCACATCAAAAATTTGGAGCGGCCATTGGGATGTCGGCTCGTGCGATCGTTGATCCATCTTGTGCCACTCTGGGGCTTCTCGAAACGCTCGTTGTTCGGGTGTTGCGCGGCGTCGGCCGGAACTTCTCTTGGGGCCCTATCGTGGCTGAGTCGGGGCTGTCCTGGGGTGTGTGGGGGTTCAATTGGAGGCGATCTCGGGGGTCTCCTTGGGGCGGATGGCTCGAAATCTCAATTCGAGTTTTTTCTCTCTCTCTCTCTCTTTCTCTCTTTCTCTCTCCTGGGACCCTCTACTGTTGAGGCTCCCGTGGGGCCCTATTGGGCACCTCTTGTTGAGCCGTCTTGAAGCCCTCTGGGGCAATCTTCACGGCCCGAACCCAATCTTCAGACCAGCTGGAGCGGTCTCGGGCCGCTCTCGGGAAACCTCCAAGCGCTCTTGGAGCTGTCCTGAATGTTTCTGAGGTGGCTCTGTAGGGCGTTCTGACGCCTTCCAGCAGCCTCGGAGGCCCATCGGCAGTGAAAAGGCGACGTGCTACGAACGTACTGCTTGTGGACAGATTTTGAGCAATTTGGAAACTCGGAGCCCTCTTGGGAGCGTCTTCGTCCTGTACCTGGAGGCCTCTGGGAGCGTCTGTGGGCCGCTGTGGAAGCGTATGGGGGTGTCTGGGGTCCGTCTTGGGGATATTGGACCATCTGGGCAGCCTCGAGGGCCGTCGGGAGTCCATCCGGGGCCGTCTTGGGGTGGTCTTGAGAGGCACATGAGCATTCTTGCAGCCGTCGTGGGAACCTCTTGGACCAGCTTGGGACGGTCTTGGGGGCCTCTTGGACCGTCTTGGAGCGTCGGGACGACGAAAAATTGAGGAAGCCAAAAACTCTTAAAAGCCTGAAGGCAAGCAATGATTTTGGCTGTTTGGGTCCCTCTTGGGAATGCTCTTGGGGTTGTCTTGGGACGTCTTGGACGCAACTTGGGCCTTCCGGGAACCATCTTGGGCGTCTTGGAGCGGTCGTATGCGCGTCGAGGCACGCTTTGACCGTCTTCGACGCCTCTTGGGCCGTGTTTGCAAGCTCTTGGGCGGTCATAAGCGCCTATCGGGTTGTTTTTAGGCCCTCTTGGGCCGGTCTTGGGGCGTTCTTGGGGGCCTATTGGGCGATCTTTGGACGGTCTTGGGGACTTCGTGGGCTGTCTTGGAGGGTCGGGACAACGAAAAAACAAGAAAACCAAAAACCTGCAAAAAAACAAAGGAATTCAATGATTTCGGCCTCTTGCAGCCCTCTTGGGAATGCTCTTGGGGCTCTCTTGGGACGTCTTGGAGGCCTCTTGGGCCATCTGGGAGCCATCTTGGGCGTCTTGGAGCGGTCTTAGGCGCGTCGTGGCACGCTTTGACCGTCTTCGACGCCTCTTGGGCCGTGTTTGCAACCTCTCGGGCGGTCTTAAGCGCCTACTGGGTTGTTTTTAAACCCTCTTGGGACGGTCTTGAAGACTTCGTGGGCTGTCTTGGAGGGTCGGGACGACGACAAAAACAAGAAAACCGAAAACCTGCAAAAACCAACGGAATTCAATGATTTCGGCCTCTTTTAGCCCTCTTGGGAATGCTCTTGGGGCTCTCTTGGGACGTCTTGGAGGCCTCTTGGGCCATCTGGGAGCCATCTTGGGCGTCTTGGAGCGGTCTTAGGCGCGTCGTGGCACGCTTTGACTGTCTTCGACGCCTCTTGGGCCGTGTTTGCAAGCTCTTGGGCGGTCTTAAGCGCCTATCGGGTTGTTTTTAGGCCCTCTTGGGCCGTCTTGGGGCGCTCTTGGGGGCCTCTTGGGCGATCTTGGGCCGCTCTTGGGGACTTCGTGGGCTGTCGTGGAGGGTCGGGACGACGGAAAAACAAAAAAAAACAAAAAAACAAACCCTGCAAAAAAACGGAATCCCATGATTTCGGCCTATTGCAGCCCTCTTGGGAATGCTCTTGGGGCTCTCTTGGGACATTTTGGAGGCCTCTTGGGCCGTCTGGGAGCCATCTTGGGCGTCTTGGATCGATCATAAGCGTCTCGAGGCACGCTTGGACCGTCTTCGGCGCCTCTTGGGCCAGACAAGGGCGCTCCAGGAGGCCCGATCCCGCCATGGGGGGTTGCGGTCCAGGCCAGGGAGCCCCCGGCCCTGTAGCCCGGTGTACATATATATATATATATATATATATATATATATATATACATACATACATACATACATACATGCATGCATGCATGCATGCATGCATACATACATACATACATACATACGTATCTACGTACCTACCTACCTACCTACATATATACATATATACATACGTACATACCTACATACAGACATACATGCATACGTGCATACATGCATACATGCATACATGCATACAAACATAAGTACACACATACACACATACACATACATACATACATACATACATACATACATACATACATACATACATACATACATACATACATACATACATACATACATATGCATGCATGCACATATGCATGCATGCATACACACACATACATACATACATACATACATACATACATACATACATACATACATACATACATACATACATACATACATACATGCACGCATTGACGCATGCATGCATGCATACATGCATGCATGCATGCATGGGAGTTTGACGTAGCTTCTCGGGAGCCTCTGAACCTGTCGGGGGCCTCCTGGAAGCAGGTTCGAAGCATTTTGGGGGCTGATTTGGGGCTTCGCGGGGCCTCCTTTGGGCCTCTTGGGGGTCTCCTGGGGCCCAAAAGACAACTTTGTTGAAAATGTACGTTTTACGAAAGGAATGGGCCAATTTTTGCGTCTAGGGGCCCTCTTGGGACGCATGTTGGAGGCTTCTTGGGGCCTCTTGGGGGCGTCCTTGGACGTCTGGAGGCCATCTTCAGCATCTCGGAGCCCTCTTGGAGGCCTCTTGGAAGTTTCTTGGGCCGTCTTGGGCGCTCCTGGGGCCGTCTTGTCTGACCGGGGAGGCCTCCGGCAAGCCCCGACGAGCCTCCGGGCCCCCCGGAGCCCACATTTGTGGTCGAGGTCCCGGCCCCGGGTCCCCGGACCCGGTGCGCCGTTATATGTATATATACATATATATGTGTGTGTGTGTGTGTGTATATTTATATATACATACATTTATAGATATACACACTAGAACCAGCTGAGGCACAAGTGCCGCTGTAAGCCCCAGTGTGGTCACAGCGATGATTTCCGGCGTTCTCGGGCCCATGCCATCGACGCAAAGAAACGCATCATCAAAACGCTCTCGCTCTGCCGGGGCCGCCCTCGAGAGGTGGGAAGGGGGGGGAGCCGGCTTGTGAAATGGTGGGTCTAGCGGTGCCCGCTCGCTCTGGCGGGGCTCGTCTGGCGCTCTGGCGGGGCCGCCCCAAGGAGAGGAGGGAGGAGCACGAGGGGTGAGGGGAGGAAGAGGAGGGAGGAGGGAGGAGGGAGGAGAGGAGGGAGGAGGGAGGAGAGGGGGGCACGAGGGGTGAGGGGTGAGGAGAGGAGGGAGGAGCTGAGGGGTAAGGGGAGGAAGAGAGAGGAGGGAATGGAGGCAAGGGGAGGGGGGCTGGAGGGAAGGAGGGACCCGGCCCATCAGGCCGTCTTGGAGCGCTCTGGGGCCTCCCGCTCCCGCTCTGTGGCCCAGCTTGGGCCTGTCCTGGGTCTCTCTTGGGCCGTCTGGGGCTCCTCCTGGACTATTCTCGGGTTCCCTGGGGCGGTCTTGGGGCTCTTTTGGGTGCCCATTCGGCGGTCTCGGGGCGGCCTTGGGGTCGTCTGCGGCAGTCTTCGCGCATTGGAAGCTCGAGAACGCGAGAAAGCGTAAAACACCGAACAAACAAATGCAAATCAATGATGTGGGCCTCTTTGGGCTCTCTCGGGACGTCTCTCGGAGCTCTCTTGGGCCCTCTTGGATGCCTTTTGGACTATGTTTTTGCCGTCTGGAGCTCCTCTTGGGCCACGTTGGAATCATCTCGGCCGTCCTGGAGCGCCCTGGGGCCTTCTGCTCCCGCTCTGGGGCCCATCTTGTGCCTCTCCTGGGATCATCTTGGCCAGTTTTGGGCTGGGCTAATTATTTCGCAGCCGAGACGACCGAGCTCCCTCACGAACATCACAAGCTCGCCAGGCCGTCGCCCGCCGCTGAGAGCCTCGCCGAAAGCAGCCTCGCCGGCGTGCCGTCGGCCCTCGGCACACTGCGCACGCGGGCCTTGGCCCGCCTCTTGAGGGGCGACCAGCGCAGCCTCTGCACAACCAGGCACATGCCGGTGTCTGCGCGTGAGAACTTAACTGTCAAATTGACCTCAAGGCCGACGCCAAATATTTCCAGAGCCGGCACTGCTATAAAGCACCAGAGGCTGCTTGCGGCGGAAGTCTCACCACCGTCTGACCGCCTGACATACGCATCGTGCAACCAAGTTTCGACGTCGTCCTTCTCCGCCGTGGAGAACAGGTAGCACACATCCTGCCCTGTTTCGGCCGTGCCGAGAAGCAACTCTTGGGCCGTCTGAGGCTCGTCCCGGTCAATTCTCGGGCTCCCCCAGAGCCGTCTCGGGGCTCTGTCGCGGTCTCGGGGCGGCCTTGGGGGCGTCGTCGGCCGTCCTGGAGCGTCGGAAGGGCGAAAACGCGAGAAACCAAACAACATTGAAAAACAAATGACAATCAATGATCAATCGAGCTCTCTCTGGATGCTTCTCGGAGCTCTCTTGAGGCCTCTTGGGGGCCTCTTGGGCTGTGTATTTGCCGTGTTGGGCCCGTCTGAGGCCACGTTGGGGCCATCTGGGCCGTCTCGTGGCGCCTTGGGGCCTCCCGCTCGCGCTCTGTGGCTCTGCTTGGGCCTGTCCTGGGGCTCTCTTGAGCTGTCTGGGGCTCCTCCTGGGAATTTTTCAAACTCCCTGGTGCCGTCTCGGGGCTCTTTTGGGGGCCTCTTCGGCGGTCTTTTTTTTTCTCATCGGATTTGGCAATGTCGCTGCAATCAGGGCGAGGGGTATGCTGATTCGGAGTTTCTCGTTCCGCAGGCCGTGGCAGGGCAGGATCAACTCCCATCCCTGGGGCGCCGCCAGTGCCCGGCGCCGCCGTCTCTCCCCCGGGCCATCGGGGGGCGGCTGGCGGAGCCCTGCGTGGCGGGCGCGGCGGCCGTGCGGGTCGATCGCGCCGCCGCTTAAAACAGGGCTCGCTATCCGGATAAATCGCTTAAAACAGGGTCGATCGCGCCGCCGCGTAAGCAACTGCTTGGAAGCTGGTCGATCGCACCGCCGCTGCCCTGGGCGCCTTCGTCAAGCTACACAGCAGGAGCAAACGATCGTAGATCAGAACCTGGAAACAAATTGCGAATTCGGGAGAATCCAAACAGCACGAAGAACGGCAACACAAAGCAAGGATGGTGTGTGTATGTTCTTCGGCAGATATGCCAACGATGACTCCAAAGCGTGTCAAGGACCCATAAGCCCAAACGCACTACGGCGACCATGAGCCCACTGCGCCGCTTGCACGAAGCACGCGCCTGGGAAGCAGTCCAGACTAGCGCACAGAAGGGCAATGCCGAATTGCCATCGCAGCCTCGCTAGGCTAATTATTTCGCAGCCGAGACGACCGAGCTCCCTCACGAACATCACAAGCTCGCCAGGCCGTCGCCCGCCGCTGAGAGCCTCGCCGAAAGCAGCCTCGCCGGCGTGCCGTCGGCCCTCGGCACACTGCGCACGCGGGCCTTGGCCCGCCTCTTGAGGGGCGACCAGCGCAGCCTCTGCACAACCAGGCACATGCCGGTGTCTGCGCGTGAGAACTTAACTGTCAAATTGACCTCAAGGCCGACGCCAAATATTTCCAGAGCTGGCACTGCTATAAAGCACCAGAGGCTGCTTGCGGCGGAAGTCTCACCACCGTCTGACCGCCTGACATACGCATCGTGCAACCAAGTTTCGACGTCGTCCTTCTCCGCCGTGGAGAACAGGTAGCACACATCCTGCCCTGTTTCGGCCGTGCCGAGAAGCAACTGGAGACCTGGGCTGATGGACCTCGTGATCATCAATGGGTCATCATCATTATCGCCCTCCCCGACGTCGCACATCACCTCAAGCAGTGAGTCGCGAACCACGAAGTCGCGCTCGCGCCGCCCGCGCACGCTCCTGTCGCCCTGATGCGATGAAGTCCCGTCGGAACCAGAATAATCATCATTTGTCCTTTCAATTCTCCTGGTCTTCCCTTGCGTTTTCTCCTTGGCTCGAAAACCGTGGACCACAAGTTTGAAGGTCTTGGAATCGGCATCCGACCAACCAGTCTCCAAATGCACCTCCGCCTCGAACTGGGCCCTGTGCTTCTCGCACTCGATACAGAACTTGACTCCTGCAACAGCGTCGCAATGTCGGCTCACCCTGTTCTGGTTGCTGTCGGCGAAGTCGCGCACCCACTTTGCGAAAGCGTCCCTCTGCTCCTTGCGCACCCACGTCAGAACACCTCCCAAGTCCGCCATCTCCTCCTTGGTGAAGCCGGTGAGCATCCTGAACTCGGCGCTGCTCTTGACCAGCGTGAACTCGATCGAACCGGGGTCGAACCACACTACGGGTGGCCGACATCCTGTTCGAGTGCGTGTGCCGTCGCTGTCGCTGCTCTGATCAGTAGAAGAGCTGGCTCCATCCGGGAAGCTGTCCTCGGCAGCAGGGTCGCCCTCGCCCCGGGAAGAGCCCAGGGGCTGCGGCGGGGCCTCGGCGAGCCGCGCGGCGGGCGGCTGCCGGGGGCGAGGGCGCCCGCTCCGCGGGGCGGGGCTCGGAAACTTTGTCGGGAAGGGCATCGCGGGCAGATCGGGCGCTTCTCGGAAGCCGATCAGGAACGACTCGTTCCCGCCGTCGGCCTGCAGGTACTTCACGCACATCGCCTCGGCTCGGCACGGGATGGCGGCGCTGTCCTTCAGAGAGGTGTTGAAAGCGGTGCACGGCCCCAGCATCGCGCTGGATCGGGCGTCACGCACCATCTCGGCAAATCTTTCGCGTTCCTCCTCGGCGATCAGGGTCAATACGCTCTCGCCCTGGACCTTTGATGGGGTCATCATCAGCATGTTCGCAAGGGACTGCTCGCCATGAGTGACCTTCAGCTCCTGGTCTAGTACTATCACAGCGTCACACGTGCCCTGGAGAATAGAATCCCACCAGCCCTTTAGGGCGTCGGTGGTTTAAGGAGTTTCCTCTTCCACCCCTCCTTCTTCCCCTTCGGGGAGGGGTTTACCCCTCCCCCTACCCCCTCCCCACTGACCTGGACAGGGGGTTCCACGGCGCGTTGGAGCGCCCAAGATCGACCCCTGGGAGGGCTAAAATTCGACACCCCTCACGAGGATCGTGGCTCCTGAGGGGGGGGCTGAAATTTAGGAACCCCTCTTATTTGATCGATTTCCTCCACGATGGCCGCAAGAGGCCCCCAGGATGCCCCAAGAGGCCGCAGGATGGCCCCAAGATGGCCCCAAGAGGCCCCCCAAGAGGCCCCCAGGAGGTCCCCAAGAGACCCCCAAGAGGCCCCAAGAGACCCCCCAGAGGCACCCAAGGTGCTCCCAGAGGCCCCAAGATGGCCACAAGAGGCCCCAAGAGGCCCCCAGGAGGCCCCAAAGAGGATTCCGAACGGCCCACAGAGGCCCCCCCGAGGCACCCGAGACGCCGAAAAGCCCCTCAGGACGACCCTCTACTCGCCTGGGCGTCGTTTCTGGACGGGCTGGTGGGGATACGCGAAGCGTCTAGAATTTGCAGCCTTTAGCTCGCTCTTGGCTGTCAACGTCTGCATCTCGCCAAACACCCCCTGAATGAAAATAACGTTACACAGAATTATCCACGCGGAAATGCCTAAAAAACATGCCATAATAGTTCCCATGGTATCTTCGTTGTTGCACGCTCCAGAGCCGTGAACGTGTGCCGTTAGTAGAAGGGACCCCCAGATCATACAATTCCCAAGAAGATTGAGGGGTAAGAACATGCCATAGCACGTAAACGTCCCCGAAGCCCACAACGCCCGCCGTATGTACCACTCAGGATTATACCCAGAAGTAATCACTAGCGGTGATAGCCCCAAGCAATACGATATCATAAACACCGAGTACCCTGCATGCTGTACCCGACGTCCGTGCCGACTGGGAGCAATTGACACGAAAGACGCGTATATGAAGAAAGCTGTGTAATGCAACAAGAAAAAGTTCCCTTCATCATCCAACCTCGAAAAGGGAATGGTCATCAGGGGCAGTTTGGCATATTGGCAGACCAGAAGGCCTATAGCCATGCGTTTGCTTTGTGCCCGCTTCGAAGACGCATCATGGTCTCTGGCACAGTTGACGCGGAGAACTCTTGCGAGCGTGCGTACAAATTCCCTCAAATTGGCCACGCACCCACACGAGCCAGATCCTGCGCGAAGATTCCATAGATCCTTCCCCAACAGCAAGACCAGACAGATTACCGCCGCTACCTGCGCCGCGGGCTGCACCGAATTGATTGGCACCCTCTGCAAGATCCCGCCATCGGGGACCATATCCTAACAACCGCCGATCTACGAGCTGCCGCTTGCGAAGAGCAAGAGAGAGGTCAGAGATGCATGCTCAAGCTCCGAAGCAGCACTCTTGAGCCACATGTCTTGAGCCAAAATGGCTACGGAGGGGGCCTCTTCGGCGGTCTTGGGGCGGTCTTGGGAGCGTCGTCGGCCGTCTCGGAGCGTCGGAGGGTCGAAACCGCGAGAAGCCCTCCCCGTGCCCCGGGCCCCGGGCGACCGGGCCTCGTGCACGGGGATACATAATATATATATATATATATATATATATGTAAATGTGTATATACATATATATATATACATACTAGAACCACGCGCGCGCTGCGCGCGCTTTGGTTCTAGCAAGATGCGGCGACGGTCTAGGGTTCGCAGCATCGGAGAGCAGAAAGACGTCTATCAATCATGATCAATCAGCAAACCGCACCATCCCTCTATGCCCCCACGGATGCACGCCATGAGCCCCAGTTGACCTCAATCCTGCATTCTCCTCTCAGCAAACCCTCTCAATCCCTTTCCTTTCCACACCCTTTTTGGCGGACCAATGGAATCACATTCCACGCGGCAGAGGAGCTGTTGCGGGCGCGGTGGACGAATTCCACTCGGCATGCAACGCGAAAAAGTATGTTCGTTGTCGACGCGGTGGACGTGTTCCACTCGGCGTGCAACCATGAAACATACAGAGGGCCGCAGGTCGAAATAGGATTCCGCATTATCCCACTTCAGCTGCCTACATACCCTTTGTTTCATTCCCAGGGGGGCGCCTCGAGAAAACAACTCACACACGTACAGCAGCAGCTCGTGTGTCCACTGGGGGGAGGAGGGGGGGCGGGCCCCAGTGCTTAATCAACCCGGTTGAAGCAACCGCTTTAAGCAGCCAAGATCTGGTCTTTGGGGAGGAGGGAGCGGGGGCCCGCGCCGATCGGCGAAACAAGACATAAGAAACAGCTACGTACCTCTCAAGACGGCTCAATGGGCCCGATTTCGGCACACCCCTCACGCACTCTACGCCTATCCAAGGCCTAGACGACCCAGAGCGTCCAAGGCCCACCTCGAGCAAACCCAATGTCTCGGCATTCCCACAAATTATGGCAATGGAGCGAAGCTTCCGCGCGTTGAGCGGAAGTTCAAGCTCAAGCTAAAAGAGAACTATAACATTGAGCGAAGCTTCCGCGCGTTGAGCGGAAGTTCAAGCTCAAGCGCATACAGCTGGACTTCAAATAATTTTGATCGAAAATGGAGCGACGCTCACAGCGAAGGCAGAACATCAAGCTCAAGCTAATGTGAAGGGGAGCCCCAGGTTGCCGTGGGCCTGCAGAAGGTGGGTCTCCTTTCTGCGGTCCAGGCGGCGCCAGAGCACCGCTCCCCTCGGATCCTGCCCAATGCCTGCCCACGAACCCCCAGGCCTGTCCAAGGTCAGCCCGACGGCCTATCCAATGCCTGCCTCAGGCTTACCTGGCGGCCTTTCAAGAGCTGATACATGGCCTACCCAGAACCCAGTGAAGGCCCGCACACGACCTAGCCAAGGCTCATCACAGATTTGTCACGTCCAAGATCTTTACAAATTTTACGTCTAGCGAACCACATGCGAGCGCCATAACGAATGTGAACACCCAAATGCGCGCGATCACCGTGCCCGCGCTCGTCTTACAACCGCGACGAAAATCTTTACAACGATGGGCTGTCGTGAAGGGTTCTATGGTGCGCCCACCTTCGTCGTGCAACCACCGCGCAAAATTTGCCAACACTGGGCCACCCTGAAGGTTTGAACGGTACGCGCCAAAAAAAATCGACAACGAAATAATCGATCCGACGGTCTTCCCAGTACCGCGGCGACTGCCGGGACTGATCCGAGTATTCGCTTCCTTCGTGGCGGCCCTGAAAAAAAGCACACCCACCTCAAAAAGCCAACGTCTCGCGTGAGATATCCCCGAATGCTGACCGCAAGTGGGCAAATGTCCCACCCCGTGGTCGCTCCCCATTGTGGCGCCCAGCAACGTTTGTTGCGACATCGCGAACACCACGCGGCCCTGAAAAAGACGCGCCTACATCCGTGAAACAAGCGAACCGCTGGAGACATCCCCACAATCTGGGCACGAACCGGTAAGTGTCCTAATTATCCCCTGGCGGCACCCCCTTGTGTTGCCCAAGTGCGAGGCCTGTCACACCGCGATAATTCTGATCGTGATATGGAAAAGGAGGGAGGAGGAGGAGGAGGAGTGAGTAGACGGAGGCGCGACACGGATAACAAGAATTCACGACGCAAAACACGGAAATAAACGCCGCAACATATTCCACGAGACGTGCAACTGCCTGCACAATGATCCGTTATCACCGTCGCACCCTTGATCCGCACGCGTTCGACGGAAACTGGCGGCAATCAAACTGGCCCAATCTGCCAGGGCATCGCTCGTGGGGGGAGGGCCTCCTCGCCTCGGGCTGCTCTCCCGCAGCCGCGCCCCGCCGTCGACGGCGAGCGCGCGCCTTGTGGGTGCCCTGACCGTCCCGGGCGGCCGCCGCAGGCCCGAACGTGCGTTTGATTCGCCCATGTCGTCCAGCCCGCCCATCTGAACCAAGAAAGCTGGTTTCTGCTGAGACATCCTCACGATTCGCTCTTAAACTTAAGCTGGCCACGGCGTGCAGGTGACGCTGGCGGTGTGCTGCCCGCGCCGAGGCGAGAGCGCCGTTTGGACGGACTTTCGGCCATTGTACGGTTCGGCCCGCATAGTACGCTATGTTATCAATGCGAGGCTAAGCTATGCGGTGTGATGCGATGCGATACTATGCTGTGCGATGCGATGCGATGCTATGCTATGCTACGCCATACTGTGCCATGCGATGATATGCTAGTATATGCGACGCGATGCGATGCGATGCTATGACATGCTATGCGATGCTATGCTATGCTATGCGCGATGCTCGTCTATGCTGTGTTGTGCGATGCTATGCGATGCTATGCTATGCTCTGCTGTGCGATGCAATGCTATGTTGTAGCTCCAGTTGGTTCCCCTTCCTCACCCCCACCACCACACGCACAACCTCTTTATCACCCGAAGGGTGGTCGTACATGTAGGTATACACTGGCAGGATCTCGCGGCCAGAGATACAACCGCCTCGCGCACACTTGCCTGGAGCGGGGAGGGATGGGGAGGAATCTGGGAGGAGCGGGGAGGGGTGCAGAGTGAGGTGTCTTGTGGGCCTCTTGGACTGTCTCAGAGCGCTCTGGGATCCACAGGCGCCTACGGAGGTCGTCTTGGAGGGCTCTGTGGGACGTTTTGGGGCGATCCTGGGAGCTTCTTGGACCGTCTTGGAGGCCTTGTTGGGATGTCTTGCGGCGCTCTTGGGGTTCTCTGAGGCCGTCGTGGACGCTATTAATACAAAGCGCATATGCCCAAAATAGACGCTTCCCAAAGGAATTAGGGCGATGTGTGTTCCTTGCGGCCCTCATAAGTGTCCTCTTGAAGCCCTCTTCAAGCGCTTGGGGGGCCTCTCGGGCCGTCTTGAAGCCATCATGGGCGTCTTGACGAACTCTTGGACCGTCTCGGAAGCCTCCTGGACCGTCTGGGGAGCGCCTTCGGGCCCTCCGAAAGCCCCCCGAAGGACCCCGAGGGACACAGTGGGCACCGCGGGGGGAGGGGGGAGTTTGGGAAAAGTGGGCAGCCTCGGGCCCCAGGGGTCTGGTCGCGGGGTCCGCATGGTGATGGGCAACTATGATGAGCGCTTGCGCGCTGCAGTCAGATCCACCTTGAGCCAAAATGGCTACGGATGCTCGTGGGGCGTCTTTGGGGGCTCCTGTGGGGCCTCGTGGAGCCTCTAGGAGGCCTCTAGGGAGCCTCTTGGGCTCTCTTAGGGTCTCTTGGGGCCTCCTGGAGGCCTACTGGGGCGGAAGGCTCGAATTGTCGGTTCGTGTTCCCCCTCT